TGACCGTACTGTTGGTAACCTAGTCCTCGACCGCAGCAAGCTCTACCGCGGCCACCCCTGCCGCGGCCACCTCGGCCTCCGCGTGGTGCAACATCTTGGTCTTGTACTCCGAAGGCATGATAAGCAGGTGGAGTGTTTTGTTGACGAAGATAAAGAACCCGTTGCTCAGCCTCCAAAAGACTTCGGTGAAGAATGTCTGGCGGAAAATTATCAGGAAATAGGGAAATAATTCCCAAAGTGGACTCATATTCCGGTCCAAGTCCCATTAGAGTGGTTTGAAGGACTTCTTTATTGGATACAGGAGAGTTGATGGCAGCCAGTTCACCAACTAAAACATGTATTTCCCTTAAATAATTTTCCATGGACTGATTGTCCTTCTTTTTGATATTAGACAATTGACGCCTCAGGGTCATAGATCTAGCCAGACTAGCAGAACGAAAACGATTTTGCAATCTTTCCCAGATCTCAAAAGCGTGTTTAAGTTCATGTACATCAATTAATACATCACGAGTAAGAGTAGCAAAAATCCAAGAGCGAATTGTTTGATCAACTCGTAGCCAATGATAATAGTCAGTATTAATGATTTGGTGATTGTTAAAATCAACCGTGTACATGGAAGGTACCTGAATGGAGCCATCTAAGAAACCAAACACACCTTGAGACACAAGGAAAGATTCAAACTGAGTGCGCCACGTGATGTAGTCCTCCACTGCTTTAAGCTTAATTGTGACAATTTGAGTAACATTGTTAGCCGGGGTAATGGATTGTGCAACCGTAGCCATCTGTGACTGAAATAGTGAATTATCAGGTGGCCGAGAGAGGCCAGGTGCTCCTGAAAAAGTAGAACCATAATACCCAGGGGTTAGTTGTGTTGACGCAGGGAGTGGGGTTGAGAAGAAACTGCCTGGGATGTTAGGCAGAACTGAGATTTGCCATGGGAAAGTGGAAGGAATAGCGTGACAGAGGGAATAAGTCCCTTGGGTCTCGGTCGTGAGAAGAGAAGGCAAGGGATGCACAACCGATCCTCCGGATGAAGAGAACTGCGGCGGCTTGGTCAGGTTAACTGCTGCGCCGGTGATGACGACGACCGCGTCGGTAAAGGTGGCAGATACCGGCGCCGTCGTTGAGGATGAAGAAGAAGCAGTAGCGACCGCCATTGAAGAGGAGGAGATGGCGGCGGAAAATTCTGCTGCGGAACTCATGGCCGAAAAAAAAACAAGGGTTTTGGGAGAGAGAGAAAATTTAGGCTCTTGATACCATGTGAAATAATGGGAAAGGTTCCCCAATAGAGTATACTGAAAAGAGTTTCCGAAGATACATAGGATTCCTAATTTAATATTAGTCTATTACTACCCGGGAACCAAACATCGCATTTCACACCAGGGCCCAAGTACGTACGGCCCACAACCCTTTACAGTATTGGCCCCAAGCCTAGGGAGATGCCCATCTCCACAGATTGAGCGGGAAACCCAGATTGTGGCGGGAAGCGCATTTAATGCTGGGGATTTGGTGGTTGGAGCATCAGCCATTCACAGCTCTCCACGTCAGCGTTGCCAACTGCCCATTGGTGGTATAAATAGTAACATTTATTTCATTGTAAAAGATTGACAACTTATTAGCCTTAAGACTCTAGCTTACTTGCAGCTCTTAGATGTTGGACCCAAATGTTTAAGGAATAAACCTCAACAGATTTTATAAAATATGTTTAGAAGAATATTATAAATAAAGATCATCTGGGCAATTTTTTTTTTCAACTTTATTTTTAGGGGTGCTTATGACTCTTTCAATACGAGGGTGAATTGTAATGGTGACTGACAAATTAAATAAGATGGTATTCATGACAAAACGAACATGAGAAGATAAAATAAATTATAACCTAAGTCTTTGAGACTGTGACAAGGTTTAAGTAGATCTCACAAGGAAAACTAGTTGAAAATGTGTTAAAAACTTAAAAGTGAGAGAAAAATAAAACTAAAAGTTGTGAAAATTTAAAAAGAGACGCTAAAAGAGCTAGCGGTTCGAGATGCTCTGAGTAAAATACTGGATGCGCGGAGATGAGCCCGAGAATTTAGGGCTTGTTTGCAATCCCTTAAGAAAAGTGATTTTGGTTTTTTTTAAAGAAAAAACACTTATTTTACCAAACACTACCAACTTTTACTTTTATTGACTTACGTGAAGAATCTACTTTTTACTTTTTTTATTACATAAAAAACACTTATTTTACCAAACACTATCAACTTTTACTACTAATCACTTTTTCCCAAAAAGTGCTTTTATTTCAGCACAAGCTATTGCAAACAGAACCTTAATAGTTCGCGGCCTCCAAAATCGAAACATCTCCCTAATCTCGGGGTCTTCGTATGATCAATTCGCTGTCCGTAGTTAGTTGACAGGTATGGTATGTCTGATGCATGTGTTGTGGATAAAACTGTGGTTTTAAATATTTGGATGTTAGGGTTTCTAGCTTTCTGAATTCAAAATTATCCTACCCTTATTTTCTAATTTTCAAGCTCCAATACTGTCTTGGGGCTGTGTTTATGATTTAGTTTACTTACAATATAATCAGGACCGGTTCTGGGGAGGGCAAGAGGGGCGACCGCCCTAGGCCCGAAAAAATAGAAGAAAAAAAAGGCCCAAATTTTTTTCTTTATGTATAAGTGAGTAGGCTTCTTCTTTTATTCTTAAGGTCAGTTAATTAGGCCTAATGTTTAATTTTGTTGACAATTTGAAGATTTAACATGTAAATAAAAATCTTAAACAGAGCCAAGTTTGAAAAGAATATATACATAAATTTAAGCAGGATCAGTTGTAGTTTTTAAAAGCAATACAATTGTTGCTGCATCAAAAAAAATTATACATTAATTTTAAGTAGGATTGATTGTAGTCTTGACATCTCTTTAGCCTTTAAGGCTTTTTATTCATTTTAATTATAACATAACAAATATATATATAATTATTTTAGAGCCCATCTCTCTCGAATCTCATCCCAATTATTTATTTGGTTCCAAATTTCAATAAACTACTCCCTCCGTCCCCCTAAGTTTGGGACGGAGGGGTGTGGTGTGGTTTTTAAGAAAAAGTGGAATTGTGTGGTTGGTATTGAATTGATAAAGTGTAAATAAAGTAAGAATGAATTCTAACCACTCAAATGTTACCAAATATGGTATGGGACAAACTTAGTGGGACGGACGAAAAAGGTAAAACGGGACAAACTTAGGGGGACGGAGGGAGTATATCTGAGTTTCTAATAGTAGTTTTAGAGGACGTCAAATTGGCAATCTTCTTACACGAGTGTTCTTGGCGGCCAAACATTTTGTGTCTTTGAAAACTTTCATTCCTTCGAGACTTCAAACTTTAGACTCCCATGCGGTCAATAAATCATTCTTATCTTATGAATTCAATATGTAGTGATATTTTTTCATATATCCTTTCAAAAGAAAGTTTAATGTTGTTATATGTGGTAAGTTTATTGTTTGTCATTTATTAGTAGAAAGAAGGTTGCCTATGAAGTGATTATTGATGATTTGCTTCATATTTTTCTACGAGAAATGTTTTTTAGTAATGTTTTTCTTTTTACCCGATACTCGTGTTGTTACTTTTGCTCAAATATGTAACTTAAATAATTATAATAATAAAAATAATAAAGTAATTTTCGACTTTATTTTATGAACTTCGTTGGATATTTTTATTATAATTCTTATTTCAAAATTCATATAAGTATACGGTTTACGGTTTGTCTTGGATATAAGCCCAGAATAGCGTACCGTCCATAGGCCCAGAAATGGGCAGGACCGGCCCTGAGTAAGTGTAGCTTATAAAGTTAATTAATACATGGCAGATTTATGTTCTAATTTTTATTTGTTTTGGTCTTTGATATGCGTTAGAGTTATCTGGATTACCATGGCTGGAAGAGATAGAATCAGTAACCTCCCTCCAGATATACTTGACAAGATTGTGGGGTACTTACCCATTGTTGAAGGCTTGAAGCTGCTAGACTCGCTGTTTTGTCTTCTGTATTCAGAGATACTTGGGGAAAATGTATAAATAGGCCCATGTACTAACCAAAAAAGGTCAAATAAGCCCTTATTTAGGAGACTCTGTCCGGCCGTCGCCATTTGGGTTGGTTCCTGGTGGAATTTTTTGATGCAATTTTTTGAGCATCTTATTCATTAAGTCTAGTTTAGTCATACAAAATTTCAGCTAAAACTTCAATCGGGAAGGCATTCAAATAAATTCTTGAAAATAACTGCACACTTAGAAGCGCACTTATGAATTCATTTGAATGCCTTCCTGATTGAAGTTTTAGCTGAAATTGGATATGAGTAAACTAGACTTGATGAATAAGATGCTCAAAAATTTCATCAAAAAATTCCACCGGGAACCACCCCAAATGACAACGGCCGGACAGAACCTCCTAAATAAGGGCTTATTTGACCTTTTTTTGTTAGTATATGGGCCTATTTACACATTTTCCCGAGATACTTGGTTCAATCTTAAACAACTTGAATTTGATTATCTCTTCCATGCTCACATTTATATGAAGTACTCTGAGGACGAAAATCCTGAATTTACCTGGGATACTGGGGGTTTAAATGTAGTCAACAAAGTTCTCATGCAGCATAGAGGACCAATTCACAAATTTCTTTTGCATTTTTTGGGTGTACGTTCTAAAGGGCCTATTGCTGTGTCATTTTTTTTTCTTAGATCAGTAGTTTCGTATTATTTCACAAAAAGGTGTTGAAGAAATGGAATTTCAATTTTTTTCAGAACATAGATTCAAGCTGCCAAATTGCACATATGCTTGCTCAACGCTCAAGATATTGCGTCTAAGTGGAGTCATCGTAAAACCAATAAATACCCGTTGTATATTTATTTCCAAATGTCACTTCACTTGTTTTTGAGTGTGTTTACTTTTGTGATGAAAACCTTTCTGATTGTGGTGTGAACGTCCCAACTCCCAATGCTTGAAAATCTCTCATTTGAGAAGTGTACGAACATGTTTTGTTTTAACATTACTGCTCCGAGACTTCAAAGTTTATCGGTTTCAGATGCTAGGAAATAGGAATAACAAGTTGGGTAGTTATCTCCCAGTGAACTTGGACTTTAAGGTGTTGTTCTGTTCGTCTTATTCTTATTACTTATTCTTATTTTATTCAGATCAGATCAGATCAAATCAGAAAAATTCAGATCAGATCAGATCAGATCAGAAAAATTCAGATCAGATCAGATCAGATCAGAAAGATTCAGATCAGATCAGATCAGATCAGAAAGATTCAGATCAGATCAGAAAGATTCAGATCAGATCAGATCAAATCAGAAACATTCAGATCAGATCAGAAACATTCAGATCAGATCAGATCAGAAAAGTTTAAACATGATTTATCACTTTTATTATTATATTAATTATTTTTATTAATATTGTTATTACTATTATGATTATTATTATTATATAATTATTATTAATAATATTAATAATAATATGATAAAAAAATACTCCGTAAGATATTAATAATAGTTATAATATTTTAATATAATAATAGTAATATAAATGCAATTATTAAGAAAACTATTATTATTATTATTACAATATAATAATAATAATATGATTAATATTATTATAATATTATATTATAATTATATGTAATTATAATTATAATTACAATTAAAATTCTTATAATTATAAGTATAATCAATTGTAATTATTATAATTATATTGTTATAATTATAATTGTAATTAGTTATAATTATAATAATTATAATTATAGTTACAATCATAATTATAATTATGATTATAATTATAATTATAGTATAATATTATAATAATATAATACTAATTATAATAATAATAATCATATTATTATTATATTATTGTAATAACAATATTAATATAATAATATCGTTATAATAATATTAATTGCATTAATATTACTATTATTATATTATAATATTATAATTAATGTTAATATAATTATAATTATTATTAACTATAATTATAATAATTATAATTATACTTATAATTATATTATAATTATAATTTGTGATTAAAATTTTTTTATAATTATTAATATTATTATTATTATTATTACTATTGTAATTATTTTACGGAGTAATTATAATAATAATGATAACTATAGTTACAATTATAGAGATAAATATTGTAATTATAATTACAATTATAATTACATAAGTAATTATAATTAAAAAAATAATTACAATTATAATTATATCTATATTTATAATTAGTGTAATAGGTATAATTTTTTTCATTTTAAATTAATTTTAATTATTATTATTATTATAGTTACGATTATGATTATAATTTTATTTAAATTATATTTGTAATTGCAATTATAATAATTATAATTATAATTATAATTATAATTATAATTATAATTATAATTATAATTATAATTATAATTATAATTATAATTATAATTATAATTATAATTATAATTATAATTATAATTATAATTATAATTATAATTATAATTATAATTATAATTATAATTATAATTATAATTATAATTATAATTATAATTATAATTGTAATTATAATCATAGAAATATTCAAATCAGATCAGATCAGAAAGATTCAGATCAGATCGGAAACATTCAGATCAGATCAGACCAGATCAGAAACATTCAGATCAGATCAGAAAGATTCAGATCAGATCAGAAAGATTCAGATCAGATCAGATCAGATCAGAAAGATTCAGATCAGATCAGATCAGAAAAATTCATATCAGATCAGATCAGAACTTAAAAATTTCAGATAAGAAACATTCAGATCAGGCGAAGAGAACATCTTCTAAATCTATATCTACTTTGAGCCTCAATGATGATTGTCTCAAGGTACACTAGCAGGAACTTTATTATTTTTTGTTGGCCGTTATTTATTTAAAATATTTTCTTAGGAACTCTTACAACTTGATTCCCATTTAATTTCAAAGGACTTTGTTATACAAGTTACTGGAAGGGAAGAACAAATCCAACCGGCCACACTAAACGTGGAGCACATGAATTTATCAGGTTTCAGACCGTCTACTTCTTCTTTTGCTTGTTTACTGCAGATGTGCCCACGATTATACAAACTACATATATACTTTCAGAGTTTCAGGTAATTATTATTTTCCACAATAAACTATTCAGTGAAGTTGTAGTTTTTTTGTTGCTCTGCTTTTCTTTATGCTAGTTTGTTCAGTTAATGATGAACGCTAAATGCTTTTTACGAGTGCCGGTCCTATCTAAACTCAGGCCTGAGTCGAGCTTCATAAAATGGGCCCCATACATAGTGTTTGTTTATCAAATAAATTCACTAAAATTGAATGGTTAAATACCATAAAAACACAATCTTTCATTAAAAGTCTTCCATTATCCCACGACAAAGAATGTATTAAAAAAATACTTAAGTGAAACCTGTCGAACAGTTTTAGATACATAATTTAGTGGAATCCTCAATAATATATACTATTACTCCGTAATTTTCTCTACAAATAAGACCTCGAACTAACTTAAAAAGTGCAAATCACCGGTCCCCTTATATATGAGGTTATGTCTGACCGTCGCCATTTGGGGTGGTTTCCAGTGTAATTTTATGATGAAAGTTTTTGAGCATCTTCTTCATTAAGTCTAGTTTATCCATACCAAATTTCAGCAAAAAATTCAACCAATAAGGCAGTCAAATGATTTTTTGAAATATACTGCGCTGTTTAACTGCACAATTATCTTCAAAAATTCATTTGACTGCCTTCTTGATTAATTTTTTTACTGAAATTTGATATAGGTAAATAAGACTTAATGAAAAAGATTCTAAAAAAAAATCATCAAAAAATTACACCGGGAACCGTCCCAAATGGCGACGCCCTTAGAAAATACATAGGTATAATAATAGTAATGTTTAAAAAATTATGGGCCCCTAATTTTTTCATTTTTTTTGGGAGGCTTGGGCCTCTCTAGCCTAACATAAGGCACGGGCCTGCTTTTTTACTTTTTTATCGTCAGACATACGGCCACCCGGCCCTTTGTTTCCCTGAATTGAAACTCTTGGAGGAACTTGATGCTGTGGCTCAAACATGCAAACTGCTGCATGTGCTGAAGTTCTGTTTTAATGGATTGGGACCTGAAATGCATTTCATCAGGACACTACTTGCCTCCTTTCCGACACTTGAGAAGGTTTTCATCATTCGTTACAAACAATACCGTAATAAGTTTACCTTGAAAGAAGAGTTCAAAATCATGAGTAAGCTTTTGCGTTTTCCTCGTGCATCTAAAAAAGCAGAAATTGTTTATACATCTTGTAATAGTCACATGTAGTACTTGGCTACCCTTGCAAGTTGAATGTAATTAGTACTCGGACTTTTTTTTTTTTCAAATCAACTGAAGGCAGTTATTAAATGTAAGTATGTAACTATCTTATTGAGGGGTGTTTCACAAGTGACTTAGAAATGACCTGTTAATCGATTTGGGTTTGATTATTTCCTACTTCTGATTGCATTCTTATATATTTTCATTGAAAATAATGATGAATGACCTATATAATTTTACTAGCATTATGTATGCCCATTGCCCAATGTGAGATAGTTCATGTCCAATTAGGGGTGGACGCAGTCTGGTCCGAGGTCCAAAAATATACTTAATGAAAACTAGGGGTAAGCATGGACCGATATGGGACGATTATTTCAAAAAAAAATTGTCATGTTCCAAAGTACGATTCTTTTAAAAATCAAAGATCAAAGAACCGGTACCGTCTCAAACATATAAAGAACCTTTCCCATTCCGTACCAATTTCCAGTATGGTTCGATACAGTTCTTCCGTACTATTCAACTCCTAAATAAATAACTCCCACGAAGTCAAAAATATTTTAGATTTTAGCATTTCTAAGTAATTAACCTTGTCCAATCAAATTTAGCTGAAACACATAACCTTGTCAAACTATAATAAAAGTATAGTTCTGGCCTTCTGGGGATGGAGAGCAACGTAGTTATTAATAGTATTACTTATAAAGTTTAGTAAACTTAATAATTATATTGCAGGAATCAAGAATATGCATTATATGGTCTACCTATGTTGCACTGATACAGATAAGCAGATACGTCGATACGCGAATACGGGTACGACGATACGACAATTTAAAAAATTATAGGATACAGATACTGGGGTATATTTATAAATAATAAAAATATAGGGTATAATTTGCAAATATATATAATTCAGGAATTCATAAATAAAATAATAATAGTACAAAAAAATAACTATTATAATAAAATTTCAAAGATTAGGCTAAAGAAACTAAAGTACTGATATTTTGATTTAAATTTAAATAAATTTTTTTGTTCTCTATTTACATTTACAACTAATTCTTGTTTCAATTAAAGCTCATCAAGCGATAAAATGAAAAATTATAGTATTCGATTATTTTCCGTACTCCCGAAATCATCTTTATCAATGTTCCACATCTTGTGGTCGTTTGGACGGTTACTAAATTTTCGTCATGTCGTGTATGAAATGAGTGTTACAGGGTCAGATACGCGTATCAATTCACAGATACAGGTATTAGAAGTATCATTATTTTTAAAATTAAGCCCCATATTTTTATTAAATTACGGATACGGACCCAATACGTACATGACGCGTATCGGTGAGTATCGGATACGAATATGTATCGGATACGCGGATACAGCATCGGGGTGAAGTATCGGTGCAACATAGGTCTATACTAAAGCTTTAAGTAACCAAAGTGTATATTATTGGCTAATATAATAAATAATATAATATGGAGTATATATTACTTTTACTATCAATGTTTCGGGACGATATGCGACCATTCGGTTCATTACGGTTCTGAGACGGTTCTGGGATGGTTCTCGCTTAAGAACCAGTACTGTACCATACCATTGAAAATTTTCGGTACGATATGGTATTATATTTTCTGGTTCGTTCGATTCTGGTACAGTTTGGACGATTCTCGATACAGAATGAGAAATCTCAGATCCGTGCTCAGCCCTAGTGGAAACCTTACCCAGGTATACCTCTTTCCGAGTTTAGAAGTTGTTCTCTTCACCTGATCTGAATGTTTCTGATCTGAATTTTTCAAATTGGATTAGAATCTTTCTGATTTGATCTGATCTGAATCTTTCTGATCTGATCTGAATCTTTCTGATCTGATCTAAATATTTCTATAATTATAATTATGATTATTATCATTATAATTGTAATTCTAAATATAATTTAAATATAATTATAATTATAATCATAAGTATAAAAATCTATAATTATAATAATAATTAAATTATAATAATTATACCTATTACACTCTATAATGATAAGTCTAATTATTTTTTTCATTATAATTATAATTTTAATTGTAATTATACTCTGTAATATTTCTATAATTATAATTATGATTATTATGATTATAATTGTAATTCTAAATATAATTTAAATATAATTATAATTATAATCATAAGTATAAAAATCTATAATTATAATAATAATTAAATTATAATAATTATACCTATTACACTCTATAATGATAAGTCTAATTATTTTTTTCATTATAATTATAATTTTAATTGTAATTATACTCTGTAATATTTTTCTGTGATTATAATTATAATTATTATTATTATTATTATTATTATTATTATTATAATTACTCCATATAATAATAATAATATAATTTTTATAATAATAATAAGATTATAATCATAATATTAATAAAAATAATAATATTAATAATAATACCAATAATAATAACAACAATAACAATAATAATGATAATGATAATAATAATAATGGTGATGATGCTCATAATAATAATAATAATAATAATAATAATAATAATAATAATAATAATAATAATAATAATAATAATAATAATAATAATAATAATAATAATAATAATAATTATAATAATCATGATGATGATAGAGCAATTTGCAGGAAATCAAAGTTTGTTACCTTAGAAAATTGTCTGCCAACGGAAAACATAAATTCACAACTCAAAATCGACAGGAAATCTCAATAGAATAAAAGACGACACAACATGACTACTAGGTTTCAATCAACAAAATTTCCATGGGTGTAGTTTTAGTACTTTCTTTCTCTGTATTGGTTTATATTCTTTCTTTTTTTATGTATTTTCTTTCTTTGTAATGTTTACTTCTTTTGAATAAAATTCACTTTTCCCAAACAAAATGATGATGACAATAATAATAACAACACCAATAATAATAATAATCATATTAATAATGATAACAATAATACGGAGTACTAATAACAACAACAGCAACAACAGCAACAACAACAACAATAATAGTCGTTATTATTACTATAATAATAAAAATGATAAATCATGTTTGAACTTTTCTGATCTGATCTGAATGTTTTTTATCCGATCTGAATGTTTCTGATCTAATCTGAATGTTACTGATCTTGTCTGATCTGAATCTTTATGATCTGATATGAATGCTATTGATCTGATCTGATCTGAATCTTTCTGATTTGATCTGATCTTAATTTTTCTGATCTGATTTGATGTGAATAAAATAAGAATAAGCAATAAGTCTACAAACAGTCCACGCTGTTCTGAGATTTACTGGGAAAGAAAAGCGGAAAATAATTCGCTGCTTTTTCTTCTGGGAGTTTAAGATTTAATCCTTTCACAGTACAGAGTATTTGATTTGGAAAATGATGTTTGTACCCACTTTTATACCCACTTTTGTACCCACCCATGTTTGTGAAGTTATTATTTTTTGTCTGTGAATTCCTTCACAGACAAAATATGTCTGTGAAGGAATTCAAAGACATATTTTGTCTGTGAACCGGACTCGCACACAAAAAAATAGCCTTCACAAAGGTGGGTATAAGGTGGGTACAAAGTGGTGGGTACAACAAGCATGGTTGGATTTGATTTCTGGTCTATTGAAATATTGAATGCACCTTTATCACTTTATGGCATCCCCTACCCGTTTCTCATTTTGACATATTCCCTCTGTCCCATTTATATTGTCCCGTTTTACCTTTTCGGGAAGTCCCACTGAAATTGTCTCATACCATATTTGGCAAAGTTTGTGTGACTCTAAATCATTCTTACTTTATTCTTACTTTATCAATTAATATCAACCACACAAACCCACTTTTCTTAATAACTGTGTCATCCTCTTCCGTCCCAATATAAATGGGACGGAGGTAGTAAATGCAGGCTCGTGCCTTATGTTAGGCTGGAGAGGCTCGAGCCTCAGGGCCCCCAAAAAATGAAAAACTTAGGGGCCCATAATTTTTTAAACATTACTGTTGGTATACCTATGTATTTTCCAAGGGCGTCGCCATTTGGGGCGGTTACCGGTGTAATTTTTTGATGATTTTTTTTGAGAATCTTCTTCATTAAGTCTAATTTACCTATATCAAATTTCAGCAAAAAAATTAATCGGGAAGGCAGTCAAATGAATTTTTGAAGATAACTGTGCAGTCAAACAACGTAGTATATTTCAGAAAATCATTTGATTGCCTTATTGGTTGAATTTTTAGCTGAAATTTGGTATGGATAAACTAGACTTAATGAAGAAGATGCTCAAAAACTTTCATCATAAAATTACACTGGACACCACCCCTAATGGCGACGGTCAGACATAACCTCTTATATAAGGGGACCGGTGATTTGCACTTTTTAAGTTAGTTCGAGGTCTGATTTGTAGAGAAAATTACTACCTTCGTCCCCCTATGTTTGGGACAAGAGAAGGTGACACGATTATTAATAAAGGTGGGTTTATGTGGTTGATAATGAATTGATAAAGTAAGAATAAAGTAGGAATGATTTAGAACCACACAAACTTTACCAAATAAGGTATGGGACAATCTTAGTGGGACGGACCGAAATGGTAAAATGGGACAATAATAGCGGGACGGAGGGAGTAATAGTATATATTATTGAGGATTCCAATAAATTATGTATCTAAAACTGTTCGACAGGTTTTACTTAAGAATTTTTTTAATACATTCTTTGTCGTGTGATAATGGAAGACTTTTAATGAAAGATTGTGTTTTTATGGTATTTAACCATTCAATTGTAGTGAATTTATTTGATAAACAAACACTATGTATGGGGCTCATTTTATGAAGCTCGACTTAGGCCTGAGTTTAGGTAGGACCGGCACTGAGTAAATGATTACTTTTATACGGAGTACTAACATATCGAATCATCATATCATGATTCCTACACTTTTTTTTTGAAAGAAATCATGATTCCTACACTTGGGGTGAAACTGTGAAAGGTGGGCGTAGCTAACCTGGTAGCAAAGGAGTGCCACAAGGGTTAGGTCTCGGGTTCGAATCCCGGCAACTGCGATGAGGGGTTACTATGCTGAAAAATGCATAGGGCCT